TTTAAGATGAGCCCAGGAGGCTGCCTTTGACAGCTGTTTAATGATTTTCTTAGCAGTAAACGTCTGTAAACATCAGATCGTAGGCGCTCGCGCGAGCACATGCAATTGTTAGCTATAACAGATCATGAGCAAATGTCGATCTTATAGAATCCAGATTTTTAAACGCGCGAGAACGCGCGTGGAAATTGCAAAACTCACGAAAGCTGTTGCATGAAAACAAGTCCGGTGACCCCTTCTTTTTATTGTTCTAATATGATAATAACGTCGAAAGGAATCGTCACAAAAAAAAATTGAAAATTCTACGGAAGGAAATTTGCGATGTGTGAAAATTTCCTTTTTTGTAGATTTTCTGAAATTCCGCTCCGTAGAATTTTTTTAAAAATCATTTTGCATTTTCCTTTTCAAGGGCTAAAAGCAATCACTGAAAAAAATCACGGGGTCACAGGGTTAGTTTTCGAATTATTTAAGCCACAAGCTAAAAAATGCGTCTGAATAAGCCTATGAAAGCGTTGCCATGGAAACTGCTAGTGACGGTTTTTGGATAACCAATGATTACATAATTCAATCCCGTAAAAGTGTTCAACTGGCCTCGGTCAGCCTTTCTGATGTATTCTTTCAAAGTTACAAACCATCAAAAAGATGAAAACCGGTACGAGCCACCTTAAAGCTTTGGATCGAAGACTATCTAGAAAAGCTACGATATGCTTTTATACCGTCTAGGAAGGGCGACACAGAGATAGCTAGAGAGATTCTTAGAAAATATTAAAGCAGTTCTCTGTCAAATTGCTAGCTTCCGGTGAACAATGGGAGACCCAGAATACAAACCTGGACGACTTAGAAAACGCTGTTGATCGAATGACCGAGATCTGTACAACGTTTGGCGTTCTTCATCAGGGTGTAACCAATAACAGCGCTGCAAATAATTCAGTTATTGGCCTGACGAGTATTTTAGACGATATATGAACACATCTTTGGACGAGACTCAAAGGTTTAAATACAGAGAGTGCCCGTTCTTGTGAATACCAATGCCCAGTGAGCAGCAGGGGCGAAAAAGGTCGTCCTCGTTTTGAAATTATGAAGGATCAACTGGAATTCTTGCGAAGTAAACACTTTCGCTGGGCTACCATTACTAAATTACTGGGAATTCTGAGAGAACTCTTAGAAGACGAAGAGAGGAATTTGGACTCGAAACGGACGGTTTTACTGAGATTTCAGAGAGCAACCTTACAGCTGTCGTTCAATCAGTGAAATCGCTTTACTCCCAATATTGGCCAGAGTCGCATGCTAGGTGCATTGACGAGCAGAGGTCTGCGCCGGCGTGCAGCGCTGGAGGGCCCGCGAAGTAATGAGGAAAATAGACTGAATTATTTGCAGCGCTATTATTGGGTACACTCTGATGAAGAACGCCAAACGTTGTACAGATCTCGGTCATTCGATCAACAGCGATTTATAAGTCGTCCAGGTTTGTATTCTGGGTCTCCCATTGTTGACTGAAGCTAGCAATTTGACCGAGAACTGCTTGAATATTTTCTAAGAATCTCTCTAGCTATCTCTGTGTCGCCTCTTCCTCGACGGTATAAAGGCATATCGTAGCTTTTCTAGATAGTCTTCAATTCAAAGCTTTAAAATTAGCGCAAAAAGGGGGAAATGTTAATTACATCGGCGTCCGCGATATCATTGCCCAACACCGCTTTGTGTAGCATAAATTTGCATGTTAATTAGAGACGTGTTCTAATTAGTACGAAAATTTCAATTGAGAATAATTCGCAGACTAATTAAAACGTATTTTTTGCAATTGCCATATATTTTCCACGGTGGCCCATACGGTGGCCCATAGGGGACATGACACATTTTTTTTTCATCGCGGGATAAATGGAAATTATCGCGCGATATTTCGCACTCAGCGTGTGCGTGATATTAGTCACGCAGTCAACACAGTAAGGTAAGGTGGCGTTGTTAAGGCGTTCTTTGAAAGGACTTTTACTTTTTGGAATAATACATTTATCCAGCACTGTATTACCGCCTTACGTTGGCAATGGCTTGCCTAATACTTTCCAGAGGAATGACATCATCAACCACCACTTTTCTCTCGATCTGGCTTACTCAGAGATCCTCGCTTTTCTTTTGTGTTTTCATGGAATTGAAATAAGCTTGCGCCAGCTGAAACGAGTGCTTAGGTGTCAGGGTCTTCGTAGAAGAAAAGACCATAGTGACATCAGGGAAATTTTAAATGCGATTGAAACTGAACTCGAAGGAAGTGGGAACAGTATTGGTTATCGCCAAATGCACCAGCGATTAAGAATTGACTATGGCCTTGTTGTCCAGAAGGAGACCGTACGAGTTATAATTAAAGAATTGGATCCTGCTGGCGTACATTCATGATCATCAAAGCGATTACGAAGGAGAGAATACCGTGGTAAAGGACCATCCTCAATTTCAAGAATTTTCAAAAGCAAGTGAGTTAGCTCACTTTTAAAAGGTGCTTTCCTTAGCTTACGAATTTCACGGGGGATGCCATTCCATATTTTCGCACCAGCTCTTGAAAAGGAAAACAACCGATGATTTGTTCTCGCCTGTTTTATATAAAAGCTTCCAGCTACTGAGAAACGAGTAGAGTAGGAATGAACCTGTTCAGAGTGAGTGAAAAGTTCAGAAATATTGTTAGGAGCACAGCGATTTTTAATGTCATGTAACAGAGATGCAACCAATTTGAAGTAAAGCATTTTTATCGGTAGAATTCCGGAACGACTAAAAAGAGGAGCACTGTGAGAAGACGAAGAGAGGAATTTGGACTCGAAACGGACGGTTTCACTGAGATTTCAGAGAGCAAACTTACAGCTGTCGTTCAATCAGTGAAATCGCTTACTCCCAATATTGATCAGAGTCGCATGCTAGGTGCATTGAGGAGCAGAGGTCTGCGCCGGCGTGCAACGCTGGAGGGTCCGCGAAATAATGAGGAAAATAGACTGAATTATTTGCAGCGCTGCTAGTGGGTACACTCTGATGAAGAACGCTAAACGTTGTACAGATCTCAATCATTCGATCAACAGCGTTTTCTAAGTGTCCCAGGTTTGTATTCTGGGTCTCCCATTGTTGACTGAAGCTAGCAATTTGACCGAGAACTGCTTGAGTATTTTCTAAGAATCTCTCTAGCTATCTCTTTGTCGCCTTTTCCTCGACGGTATAAAAGCATATCGTAGCTTTTCTAGATAGTCTTCAATTCAAAGCTTTAAAATTAGCGCAAAAAGGGGGAAATGTTAATTACATAGCGTCCGCGATACCCGAGCCCAACACCGCTTTGTGTAGCATAAATTTGCATGTTAATTAGAGACGTGTTTTAATTACTACGAAAATTTCAACTGAGAATAATTCGCATACTAATTAAAATGTATTTTTTGCAATTGTCATGTATTTTCCACGGTGGCCCATACGGTGGCCCATAGGGGACATGACACATTTTCTTTATCGCGCGATAAATTCAATTTTATCCCGCGATATTTCGCACTCAGCGTGTGCGTGATATTAGTCACGCAGTGAACACAGTAGGGTAAGATGGCGTTGTTAAGGCGTTCTTTGAAAGGACGTTTACTTTTTGGAATAATACATTTATCCAGCACTGTATTACCGCCTTACGGTGGCAATGGCTTGCCCAATACTTCGAGAGGAATGATATCATCATTCACCACTTTTCTCTCGATCTGGCTTACTCAGAGATCCTCGCTTTTCTTCTGTGTTTTCATAGAATTGAAATAAGCTTGCGCCAGCTGAAACGAGTGCTTAGGTGTCAGGGTCTTCGTAGAAGAAAAGACCATAGTGACATCAGGGAAATTTTAAATGCGATTGAAACTGAACTCGAAGGAAGTGGGAACAGTATTGGTTATCGCCAAATACACCAGCGATTAAGAATTGACTACGGCCTTGTTGTCCAGAAGGAGACCGTACGAGTTATAATTAAAGAATTGGATCCTGCTGGCGTA